AATGGGTCTTGGGTTTAGAAATTTTTTGGTTATAATTAAGGAAAGACCCAAGTAGGTAGAGGAGAATTAATATATTGGATCGGTTTGGATTGGATCGATTTTCATCAACTCATCCAAAAACCGATCCAATCCAATTAAAATTTGCGGTTTTTTTTCGGTTTTTGATTTTTCGGTTTTCGGTTTAATCGGTTTTCGATTTTTCGGTTCGGTTACCGCGGTTTGAATCGGTTTGGATCGGTTGATGAACACCCCTAATTCTGAACCATAAAAAATATTTCTAAACCGGGGCCCCAAAGTTAAGTTAGTGGGCCTTGGAGCTCCTATTAAGAAAAAGAAAACAAAAAGTCCAAGAAAAGAGCCAGAATATTTTTATTATTTTTTTATTATGTATTTAAATAAGATTTTTCAGCTGAAAAAATTAAAAAATATATATTTGAGAGTCAGAGTATTTTGGTTGAAAGTTGTTTTTATTATAAAGTCATGCTTACTCACCTACTTTGATAATATTTTTAATTAATAAAAACTGTTTCGAATAATTTTAAAATGAAATTTAAATGTTTGGAATAAGAAAAAAGAATTTTGTATACCTTATCTTACACCGTTATACCTAATAAAAGAAAAAAGAACGAGAGAGAATGTGTATTTAAAAATGTGTTTTTTTCTATTTTATTACTTATAAAAATGGCAGAAAATTTTTGTAATGAAATTGTGTGTAAATAAAATAGTCTTTTTTTCTTCGTAAATTCAAGAGGTATCGCCACTCAATCAGAGGGTGTATTTACAAAAACTGTCATAATCAAACTAACAGAATTCAAATTATATCATCTGAATTAGTTTATTTTATCTTTATTTTGATTTCTTTAATTTATTTTATCTAATTATTAGTAAGATTTAATGTTTGTCCTTTTAAATGACATAGAATTATATTATTTCAAGTGAGAAAAAAACACAAACAATGAAAATAATAGAAAAGAAAGTAAGTATTTTTTAAAAAATTAAATTTTAAATACATTTTTTTAAGTTGTGTCTCTTTCACACTTAAAATGAAATAACTCTATTTCCTTTAAAGAATAAATATTTTTACCTTATTAATATTAGTTAACTTATTTCAAATTATATTATTAGATAATTTATACTTATCCACGAAAATAGATTTTTATAGTTATGTCTATGTTTTTATATTATATCTTAGAAATGAACTTTCATTTACTACAATCAGATTTAAAAAAAAATATCGATTTTTAAAAGAAATTCTTTTTCCAATTTACCAAAGAAGGAAAGTTTTTATATGACATGTAGTGTGAACACAATTTTCAGAATTAAGCAGGGAGTGACACATCAGCGAAGTTTCCAACATTGAACTCTCCTTTATATATATATATATATATATATATATATATATATTATGTTATTACACTATGAAAATTGAAATAGGGCGACCCAAAACTAAATGATAAAAGATTTCGCCTCTAGTAACAATGAACTATTTGAAGCATATGAAATGTGAAACCAGTTCCTTGTGCCACACTCTTGTAATCATGTGTGCCATCCCTATATTAATAAAATAGTTTGATTATATGTTATTATAACTATGCAACTTTATGATGAAGTCTTTAGGTTATCTCTATTATATGAAATTTGGGCATAATCCTTATATGTAATCCGTAGATGTTCTTAATAGTTTGGTATGAACATTTCTATATATATAGGTATTTGTTTTTTTTTTAATTTAAATTACTACATATGATAATTAGAATATTTTTGGAAAATTTTTATTATTTCAGAAATTATGATTATGTGCAATATATGATATAAACTTTTATTTTAGAAATTATGATTATGTGCAATATATGATATAAAATGTTATTATTTTAGAAATTATAAGTATGTGCAATATATAGATCTTATTGAATAATTATGAAAATTATGGAATTATAATACTCTTTAAGAAAAACTTTCCAAATATGTGTTTTAATGATTGAATTTGAATATTTATATTATTAATAACTATGATAATTGATGTGATGAGATTATTTGAATGACGATGATTGGATTTGGATTTTTCTATGATGAACGTTGAAGATTTGAATTATTATATCCTTGAATAGAATTATTATATCCTTGAATAAAATTGTTATATAAATTCAAAAATTTATGATAATAGTTGTTTGAATTATGATACTTTACCAAATGGTGGTAGCTCAGTTGCCGCATGGGAGCTGAGCAGGTGGGGGTGAGGGCATGTGTTCGAATCTCCCCAGTACCACCTTTGGGAGGGGTTTAAAGCCTTAATCCTGGACCCGCCCCGAATCGGACTAATCGCGAAGCGATGAACCGATGGAATATTTCCAAAAAGAAAAAATTATGATACTTTGGAAAATTATAATGCCCTTGAGTAACTCACTTAGAGATGATAATACTTAAAGAATAAATAATTATGATTGAATCTTTCGTGATTGTGTGTGTTTGTAATAAATTAATGGTGGGAGGATAGCTTTGGGATGGTACCTCCCAAAGTGATGAACACAACTTTTGGGCTTTATGCCTCCGATGTGAAACTGATGTGAAAAAAGATTATATCTGTTCTTCCCAAAGTGGTGTCTGGCAGGGTTTCCCAGGATACTAGTAGCAACTTTGGGAAGAGGTGTGCACACTAGGAAGATGTGAATTGATTATGGCCAATGTGATTTGTTTGTGACTGGCAGGGTTTCCCAGGTCACAGGGTAGACTGGCAGGGTTTCCCGGGTCTACCATGGTTCTCTTAACACTAAATATAATGAACTTAAACATTATTAATAATGAAATTTGTTATTTGATTTGATTATGAAGAATGTCATTGAGTTGTGAATATTATCATATTATGATTAATGTTGTGCTAAATATGTTAGTTGATAATTACCAAATACATTAAATGAACTTAATAAAGATAAATATTATATAATGAAATTTTGATTATTATATTGATATTTGATTTGATTAATGAGGAATTGATTTGAACACTATTTGATATTTGATTTAATTTGTTATTAATTACATTAATTGTATTTTGATTGGGATTACCAGCTTTTGCTGACTTTTGTGTTTGTTTAACTGCAATGATCCTTCACGGGGGAGCAGATTTTCAGTGAAGCATGTTGCAAAGGATGGGGCGAGCTGTGGGCAGTGAGGATCACGACTCGGATATTTCTAGCTAGTTCCTAAGTTTAGAAATTTTATGAGATTTAAATAAATGCATGAGACATATTTCCTTTATTTATAACATCATATTTCCTTTATTTAAACTTTAGTCTTTGGTTTTATTTTAATGTAATAAATTTAGCCTTGCACCTGTCCATTGTACAGGTGCGGCGGTAACATTCCCCAAATTAGATTTAGATTAGCTTCCACAATATTTCTATTATTATAATTGTAAAAAAAATGAATTTTGACAATTTATTTATTTTAAGATTGTTTTATAAATTGTTAGAAATTTGGGGTGTTACAAAATTGAGTTTTATCTAATTTTCCTTCTTCCACATAATATAATGAGCCCTTTGCACTTATTTTTAGTGATTTGTGGGGACCTGCACCCATTCCTTCATCTCAAGGCTTTATGCATTATATTACATTTGTTGATGTTACAACAAGGTATACATGGATTTATCCCCTCAAACAAAAATCAGAATCATTAAGCATCTTCAAACAGTTTCACTCCTTTGTTTCCACTCAATTTAAACACAGCATCAAATCTGTCCAAACTGACTGGGTGGTGAATTTAGACCCTTCACAAAATTTCTTACAGACTTGGGAATAATTCATAGACTGATTTGTCCTCATATTCATCATCAAAATAGGTTAGTTGAAAGAAAACACGGACAAATTGTTGACATGTGACTGACTCTTCTTGCACATGTTTTCCTTCCCCTTAAGTACTGGGATCATGCTTTTCTTACATCTGTCTATTTAATAAATAGACTGCCTACATCGGCTTTAAACTTCAAAATTCCCTACTATGAACTTTATAAAACATTTCCTAATTATAAAATCCTTCGCACATTTGGATGTGCTTGTTTTCCTCTACTTCGTCCATACAATAAGCACAAATTTGATTTCAGATCTCAGGAATGTGTTTTCCTGGGATACTCACCCAGTCACAAAGGTTATAAATGCCTAAACTCTTGATGGAGAAATTTACATATCTAAAGATGTACTCTTTAATGAACACATATTTCCCTTTCCATTCATATTTTCTTCAACCTCATCAAGCATCCCAAATAATTCCACTTACTCAAGCAATATCATCCCACTAGCTTCTACTTCTCCTAATACATTCTCTCCATCACTTCCTCAGACCACTACCTCAGGGTCACCAACTGCAGCAATAAGAACCAATTCAAATGTTTCCTTCTCTGGACATACCGATGACTCTGCTCCTAACTTGATACATGATACATCATTTCATTCTTCTGACAGTGCTATATCGCCTTTTTCTTCTGACAGTGCAGTACCATCCTCTATTTCACCTAACTCTAATTCCTCATATAATAGAGTCAGTTCATCTCAACCTTCTGCTACTGCTGATAAATCTCCTAACACCAGTTTTACTCCCTCATCCAGTCAAATCAATCATTCTCAGTCTTCTAACTCTAGCTCCCCACCCTTAAATACTACAGTGCAGTCACCTGTGTCCACTGTCTCTCCTATGTCTTTATCTTCTTCTCCACCTTCATTAGGATCTGGATATCAACCCTATAAATCTCTTAAAATACACTCTCCTACTCATACTATATTACCAGATAAAAGAAAATTCTGATGGTACAATTAATAAATACAAGGCAAGGCTAGTTGCCAAAGGTTTTCATCAACAATATGGCTAGGATTATAATGAAACATTTTCCCCAGTAGTAAAGCCTATTACTATTCGCACTATCTTCACCTTGGCTTTGTTTCATGGATGGCCTTTAAAACAACTTGATGTTAATAATGCTTTCCTCAATGGAGATCTCTTGGAAGAAGTATATATGTCTCAACCTCCAGGTTTTGAAGTCACTGACAAGACCCTAGTATGCAGGCTCACCAAGGCTCTTTATGGATTAAAACAGGCTCCTAAGGCCTGGTTGGAAAATTTTGGAGATACTCTTTCATCATCTTGGTTTCATTTCTCGCAAATGTGACCCCTCTCTCTTTATTCTTCGCTCTAATGGCAGCTGCACCTATATTCTAGTTTATGTGGATGATATTATCATCACAAGAAACAATTCTGACTTAATACAACTTCTAATTGATCAATTGCATTCTAAATTTGCCTTAAAACAGCTTGGAAATCTGGACTACTTTCTTAGGATCGAAGTTAAACATCTCTCCAATGGAAGGATACTGTTATCTCAATCAAAATATATTAGAGATCTTCTTTACAAAGCTGGAATGGCAGAAGCTAAAGGAATTTCCACTCCTATGCCTAGTGGATGCAAGCTAAGCAAATTTGGCTCTAACTATGTACCTGATCCCTCGCTTTACAGGTCCATTGTTGGAGCACTGCAATATGCTACATTAACAAGACCTGAAATTTCCTTTAGTGTGAATAAAGTCTGTCAATTTTTATCCCAGCCACTTGAGGAACATTGGAAAATTGTTAAACGCATTTTGAGGTATCTCAATGTCACTTTATCCTATGGTCTGGTATTTCATCCACCTTCATCACAACACCCTCTCTCACTTGTGGCCTTTTGTGATGCTGATTGGGATTCAGATCCGGATGATAGAAGATCAACCTCTGGAGCTTGTGTGTTCTTAGGCTCAATCTCATCTCTTGGTGGGCTAAGAAGCAATCCCTAGTGGCACATTCAAGTGCTGAAACTGAGTATCGAAGCTTAGCCCATGTTGCAGCTGAAATTTTGTGGTTGCAATCTCTTTTGCAAGAGCTCCAAATTCCAGTTTAAGTCCATGTCATCTAATGTGATAATCAGAGCACAATTGCTCTTGCTCATAATCCAGTTTTGCACTCGAACAAAACATATGGAGCCAGATGTCTTCTTTGTCAGGGAAAAAGTTCTGGCTAAGTCCCTCATTGTGCAGCATGTTCCATCTTCCCTACAGGTTGCTGATAGATTCTAACTCAGTGAGTTCTAACTCAGTGAGTTAATATTGTATAGTCAATTAACTCTCTGAAGTTAGCTTAGTTCAGTAGGTCTATAAATAGACCCCTGTGTAATTCTCTAAAGTGTGGTTATCATTTTGGAGAATCACAATGACAAATTTGGATTAAGTAGGAAGCATTTAATGAGGATGCTGACGTATAAGAAAGAGAAGATATAAGGGGTAAAATAACTTATAAACTCGAAGTAAAATAGACATTGCACTCCGAGCTTGGGGGCTTAATGTTCCAGGTTTATACATCCGGGTATCAATAGTCAAGGAAAAGAGTTGATAGAACCCGGATGGGGTTTTACCCGGAAGGGAAGTCGGCCAAAATACTATAACCCAAAGTGGGCCCTACCACGATTACATGATGGGTTTCTATAACTACCCACATTCACAATAACCACCTATGGAAGGGTTATATATACCAAAGACCATAACTAGCATAGGGGATAGACAATAATCATACTAATGTTCATACACAACAGCAATAATTTTCAAACGGGGAGTACTAAATTATAGAGAAGCAGTTTTACCTTGAGAACCATTAGCTTTCTTAACTAAGGACTCATAATCAGCCGCCAAGAGGTTGGGGCGCTTTCTTTTAGACTTAGGTCCAAATGCATCCTCAAAAGGCTGTCTATCAAGAAGGTGAACCCTTGATTGCTACATTCAAAATCCACAAAATTAGTAAATTTCAAAAAAAATAATAATAAAAGAAAGCACATAACTATTAACAAACAAAACAAAATCCTTGCAACAAATAAACAGCTTAATAAATAAACCTTTTGGTGGTCGTTGAGGAGTGACAGTGGCAATTTCTTCTCCTTCAGAATAACATTGTAATTACTCGACATGCGGCTCTGCAGCTCTTCTCTGAAGAACTCAAGCTCTTTCTGATTCACAACCCGAGTGTTCCCTACAGATCATGAAACAGAAAAATTAAAATAAAATAAAATTGTCAAAACCATAAAATTCACAAGTTCAAGTTGAAGAATCATGATTATTATTTTATTTTTTGTTGTGAAATTGAAACTAACCGAACCAACGGCGATCAGGTTGGATTCGCGTGCTGGGAAGCTCCTTAGACTGATATTCGTTGGTCAAAACCTTTCCCTTGCGGTCGCGAACTGGCCTCGTGTTGTACATCTTGAGGCGGCGCACGGTGG